CCATGCTGTATCAGGGGCTCTCCTTTTCACTCTCCAGAACAGAGGCATCTGCTCCACAGACTTGCTCTCAACGCGGCACTGTATTTCCTCAAATACCTGATCATTCTGAAATGGAAAATTAAGTCTGGGTTCCCCCCTCAGATCAACCTACTGAGAGGTCCAAGGTCAGCTTCATTCCTCTGAAAAGTTCAACCTGTAAATATGAAAGCGGCTTTGATATTTGGGTTTTTACACATATTGCCGGCACAAGCCTTCCCATCAAAAGTTGCTGTTAAGGTTTCTCCTCGCCTTTTGGCCATGCCTGGATAGCCTAGAACAATTCTGCCGCACACGTCATGCATATTCAGGAGGACCTTCGGGAATGGTTTACGCTGACAGGGAGAAATGTGTTTGCCATCTATGGAGATGGGCACATCTGCAGAGCATATGTTCTGCTTCCCACTGAGAGCACCCTCTCTACCTGTTACCCACTCCTTTTCACATCAGTCAGGGTCAGCATCCTGGACTCTGCATCTGCAGATCAAAGGTACACGGGCTTGGCCAAGCCTGCAAGTGGCTGCCAGCTGGACTGTTTACAGGAGGGGTCAGTGTCAATCTGTAGTGAAGGCAAGGCAGACTAGCTATGGCAATAGATACTTTCAGCCCTATTGCTTAGGCTGTTCCCCTCCCCCCCCGCATAAATGTGTGTTCCTGCGTCATCATCATTGATGTAGCCCACTCTCCCCTCCCACCAGCATACTCCCCGTTTGATCTTGTAGTCTCTTGGAGTTCCTGTCTTACTGGTAGGGGATCATCATTTCTGGTATAGAGTACAGGCCCCGGCAAGGCCAAAATAATTGTCATAACTCAAAACGCTACAGCTGGCAGACAGTCGTTACAAACGCAGTCCTAGCAAATGAGTGATGCCGCTTGGATAAGTAACAAACCATCTCATTTCCCCGCCTTGGGAGGCCACCGAGATGCTCCTTGCCAACTTCAAGCAAGCAGAAGGAAATCTCTTCTCCCAGATCAAAGTGAGACACCAGCAGTCTAAAAGGGAAGCCAGACTCTAAAAATAGGAGAAGGGATGACAGAAAAGGGAATTGCTATTCTCTCCTATTATCAGTTCTAAAAGGGGACCAGGGCGAGAAGAACATGCAAAACGGCAAAATAAGAATAATAGGAAAATAATACATGGCAACATGTCCCAAAGGTGCCTTTTTCAAGAGGCAACTGGACTTTCTGGTTTTTCTTTGAAGATGTTTCGCTTCTGATCCAAGAAGCTTCTTCAGCTCTGACTGGATGGTGGGGAAGAGCTGAAGAAGCTTCTTGGACGAGAAGCAAAACGTCTTCAAAGAAAAACCAGAAAGTCCAGTTGCCTCTTGAAAAAGCACCTTTGGGACAACCGTTGACCTGGATGACTGAGAATCTCCATCATGGGGATATTTATTCATCTCTTGAGTTTAATTAAGGGAACTAATGAGGAACAAAGACATGTAAAGCAGACTAGGACTTAGAAATTTCACTTGTACAAAGAAATGCTCAGATTATTTGTTTATTAAGATTTATTATAATTATTGTCTTTTAAGTTATTATCGTTAGATTAAACCAGGAGCCTCCAAACTTGACATCTTTAAGACTTTGGACTTCATCTCCCAGAATTCTCCAGCCAGCATTACTTTTAAAAATAAGAATTCTAATAGTATTTTAAGCACTGTATCATCCAGACTGAAATTAATATTTTTAATAGCTGAATTGCAGCAAAGGTTGAAAATTATGACAATTGATTGGAGTCCTGATTCAACTCTTATTTTAGATTATTTTTTGATTATTGATAATTTAGCTTTATTGTAATCATAAAATATTGACAAAATCAGTGTTTCTAGGCTTACAATCTTAAAACTGAAAAACATTTAACCATATTGGGAGCAAATATGGGAGCACATATAGAGATAGATCTGATAGAATTAACTGTAGATTTTGTACTATGACATTGATGATAGCCACCAATTTATATAGTTTGAAAAAGCTATTTACTATTGCCTAAATCATAGGCAAAATTATGTTAATTGTCAGCTGAAGAGCAACAATAAGTGAGGAAAGTTATTTTCTTGTTCATATGATGAATGTCTTAAATGTATCTTATATGTAAAATAGAACTCTAGCTTAAATAGGTCTTATCCAGCTCTCAACAGTAAATCACATATATGATACTTTAAAAGTGAGCTATAGTGTACAACTATTCAACTTTTGGGGGATGCACTGTTGTTCTGTTGGAGAGAAAATATTATTTGTTTTAATCTGGCAATTTGCATTCTGGTTCCTGTTTGGGTTTAGGGTTTTTTTTTCTCCTGCATGAAATAGTAATAGCAGTATTGTTACTATTAATTTTCTTTATCATGTGTCTGTATGTGCAGGAGAAATGAGAGATAAAAAAAATAGTGCTGTAACACATTACAGCCAACATAAAAACCACAATATAAATGACACAATATAAATGGCTTTGAAAGGGAGGATACGATATGATGGCACCAGCTGGTGGAAGGTGGGAACTGCATGTTACAAGGAGATGGCAAAAGAACATTTTAGATAACATCAACAAATTCAATTCTCCAAAACAAGGTGAATTGTAATTTAAAGTACTGAAGAAAGGAGCAGAGATGATTGTAGAACTGCCAACTGTACACATTAAGAAATTCTGGAGAATGGCTAGATCTCAGAAGACTGGAGGAAAGGAAAGGTTGAATCTGTCTTCAAAAACTGGATTCTGTGAAGTACAGCTCTTTTAACTTGATGTCTATATTGCACAAAGTCCTCAAGCAGACAATGAAACAATATATTTATAAGCATTTGGATTATGCAACAGTTCACATTCAGCATGGGTTTGTCACAAACAAGCCAGGCCAGATTAGTTTTAATTTCTTTTTTGACAGAGCTGTTAGCATAATGGATCAGGGGAATGTCACGGACATAATATATTCAGACTTCAGCAAAGCAATGAACAAAGTATTTCATGATGTGGTACCGGTCATTACCTATCTAAAGCATTATCGTACTGAGGAGGGAATGGATTTGTTCTCTGTTGCTCCGGAGGACAGAACCTGAACAAATGTGTGTTGAAACAACTGGAAAATAGATTCGGGCTTGATATTAGAAGGAATTTCTTGATGGTTCAAACTATCAATCAGTGAGGGGGAAATTGCCTCATGAAGTGAGGCAATCCATTTCATTCGTCTGAAATGCTTCGAAGGATCCTATGCTGAGCAAAGGATATGATTAGATGACCTTTGAGATAGCTTCTACTTCTAGATTTCAGGAGCAGCATTTTTCCTTCAAATTATTATTATTATATGGATAATCTACAATTAAATGAATTGTTTCCCTTCTATATTCTATCTTCGCTTTTGCTGTTTTCAAGAGTTTTCCTTAATTGACGTACTTCAGCGAAGATTCTTGGCTTTTTTAATGTAACCATTCAGACCATGGTTTTTTTCCCTACCACATCAGTAGAAGTCCTCTATCCTTTCCGCTCTTGGCAAACGTCGCCAATCAATATGACTTTTGGGTGCAACACCTATCCATTTGGATTTTAAGTTGTTATTATTATTATTATATCTGTTCACAACAATGTGAAATCACAGCTGCCAGTTCTTTAGCTGGTGTGGGTTTCATATGCATCAAGTTCTTCCCAAGAACCTAGAACCGTGTTGGCGAACCTATGCCACGTGTGCCGGAAGTGGCATGCATCGCCATTTCCCCCGGCATGCGAGAGGTCGCCCGTAAGAGCCTCACTGCGCATGCGTGCGTGCACTGCCGCCTGATAGCTGATTGTTGGGTATCTGGCACACATGCACAGAGGGCGGAGGGGGTTGCGTGGGAGACATGTGCACATGCACAAGGGACGTGCTGTGTGTGAGGGATTGCACAAGCATGCGCAGGGGGTTTGGGGAGGCCAGCACGCATTGTCTTCTGGGTGCAGGCATGTGAGCGCACGCAAGCAAGTGCACAACTATCAGCATGGGAACCGAAAATGGTTAGCCACCACTGACCTAGAATGTCATAATGTGTCAGTTTAATATATATGTGGATTCCAGTAGTGTGGTCTTTGCGATTGACACTTGGAAATTTTGTCAATGAGCAGATTTTCTACAAGGTTGCCAAGATTTTTTGGCATGGCATCCAGTGTGCTGATACTACTGGGTTCAAGATGGCCGCTCTATGCCATTCTATAATCTTTCCATTTCAATTTTCAGATCTTGATACTTTGTGATCTTCAATTTTTTATCTTCAATTCTACTATCCCTTAGCATTGCCGTATCAATTATCTATTCAACCACAATTACATCTGGTACATTGTGAGCCAAGACTTTATCAACCTGTTTTCAGAAATCCTACAATATTTTAACCTATTCATTCTTTTCTATTTCTTCAAGTCTATGTTCCCACTAATTTTTCAATATTGATGCATGATCATTTTCACAGATGTTCCAGTGAATCATTTTGACAACTGTGTTATGTTGTTGTTTTGATCTTGCATGAGTTGATCTACTATTTCTTCTGCTTCTTTATACAATCTGCTCTAAAAATCATTTGTTGATTTTTCAGTTCTGGCTTTCAGTCTCACAGTTACTAGCCTGATGCTTGAATCACTGCACCAAACTGGGTCTCTTCAAATTATTAACTAGCTAAACAAAATATTTAAGGAGGTGGTTCAGATGCACTTCTCTTCAAATAGTTAAAGTAGCCTCATCATTGGAAGACTTGAAACTACAGCTTGCTGTTACAATTCACAGTTTATCCCCATATGCCGAGAAAGCAATTTTGCTTTACTTTCTGGAAAGGATGGTTGCTTGAACACTTCAAAAAGAGGTGCTTGATTTGTGCTTATATGCATTGTAAAGCACCCCTATTAAATATTCGACACAATTGTACTGTTTAAACCTTCTGAATGAACTGTCTATAGAAAAATGCCACCTATTACTTCTTCTCTGATGTGGATTTCTTGGTGCTGATCTCCTCAGGTTTGGTTTCAGAACCGAAGAGCAAAATGGAGAAAACGAGAGCGATTTGGTCAAATGCAACAGGTTCGCACACATTTCTCCACTGCCTATGAGTTGCCTTTGCTAACTCGAGCAGAAAACTATGCCCAGGTAAGTGCTGTTCATCAACACACCTGTCATGAACCTCTTGACAGTTTTATCAGAGGTTCTGTCATAAATCAAATGAAATTTTGCTAGGTGAAATGAAAGTTTAAGGTTCAAGCAATGAACATTTTAGCCTTTTCAATTTTAACAGTAATTTGTTTATTTATTATTTATTACATTTGTTTGCCACACATCTTACCACAAGGACAGTACTCTACAGTATGGAGAAGTGCTGAAGTGATTTTGAGAATATGTAAACCATTTGGAGCCTCGGCCAATTGATTGGTTGATTATGAGCCAACAAGCTGGTGTCAGCTATCATATAGATGGATTTTTCCTCATAATAACCTAGTCCTTCAGACCTTCCAGCAATGCACCCATTGCCACTGCAACTGAGTCCATCCATCCTGCTGTTGGTTATCCTCTTCTTTCCTTTCACTTTTCCCATCAGTTGAACTTGTTTCAAACAACTAAGCATTGTCATAATATGTCCAAAATAATTTCAGCCTGGTCTTTTGTGCCTTGAGTGATTGCAGCCATTGTGGCATAGTGGTTAGAATGCAGAATTGTAGGTTATCTCCGCTGACTGTCGAGCAGTTTGACCCTGACTGGCTGAAGGTTGACTCAGACTTCCATCCTTCTGAGGTCACAAAACGAAGACCTGGATTGTTCGGGGCAATATGCTGGCTCTGTAAACCGCTTAGTGAGTGCCCTAAAGCACTATGAAGAAGTATATAAGTCTAAATGCTATTCTCAGCTGTTTCGCCGAATTCCAGGCAGGACGGGAAACAAAGGTCTCAAGGTAATGATCAAATGAGTCTTTATTCGTCCATACAATATTCCGGATTCAGGTAACAACGAGTAACCAAAAGCAATTAAAGTCAGCTCTGGCGCACCTCGCAGCCAGAGCTGTATTTATACACCAGTTAACAACTTAATGAGTTTATCCACCATCCGGTGAGTGCTACTGCATCACATCCGGTCACCATGTAACACCCTATGCATCGTGCTTTTATCCATTAATTATTTACCCCTATTTACTATACTTGTACAAATATCATATTCCATCATTGTATTTACGCCTATGAAGTGACCCTCCACCCCTCTCAAGATCATTAGTTTAACAGGCAGCATCCTAATCACTTTGTCTACAACCTCCCGCAGGCTGTAAAAGCTCAGCGTGTGACGTCAGCAAGGCTCATTATCTCCGTGAAACAGTCGAAGCCCCAGGTTGGGTGGTTAACAGCACTTCCCCCCTCGATAGCATAGTCTGACGTGGCACAATGCATGGTGTCATGGCTCCAGCATGCCCTGGAGACATGACAGCTATTGCTATAACACTTAGTCGATTTGTTTGATGATCCATTTGTTTGTTTTCTTGTCTGCCTAAATGCATAACTTTGACAGAATTCAATCATATGATCTGATTTATCTTGCCAGGTTACCATTAGTCCACCTTGATGAATTATTTAAGCAAAGAAAGAAAGGCAAACTGTACTAAATAATTATGACATGAAAATATGTCATAGTGTACCGGTATCTACAAGCTCCATACACTTTCCATTTTCTGGCTGCCCATATTGTATCCCAATTTTGTGGAAGGTAGGATGATGAGTCTTTCTTAGAAGCTTACCACAGACTCCTTAATGGCAATGTCCATAATATGGCATAAATCCTTCAGTAGCAATCCTTCTGCTATGTGCGGCCTGGAACATTCACTGGAATGTTTAGCAATGCCAGAAGGTCTTTGGCAGATAAATTAACTTTAATACTTTCTGCATACAGATTTCAAACTTCTTAAAAGTAGTACAGACCTGTCAGTTTAGCAATCTTTGACTTCAAAAGAATTGTTTATGGCACATCATTATACATGAAAGACTTTTAGTTCTCAGCCAGGTAATTTTGGGTAACTTTCCCCCTCTTCTGTCTCTGTCATATCCTGGTTTCAGCTAATACTTAAGCTGCTTACATAGGACAGGATGTGAATTTCTATAAATAAAATAAAATTAGTTAATTAGACAACAGAGAGCTGGAGTTCCATTATTATTTTTTTCTTCACCATGATTCTAACTAAGATTGTGTCCAAAAAAAAAAAAAAGCTGGTTTCTGTGCAAATTTCACAAATGCTTTCTTTCAATTTTCAGTTTAAACTCACAAATATGTATAATAGCCTGCACAATGTCCCTCCCAACCTCCAAGCCAAAAGAATCTTAAATCTCTTCCATAAGCTCTCAAGGTCATCATATCCTATGTCTATCTATAATCTACCCATTCAAAGTCCGTTAGGTGAGATGGACTGTGAAAAAATGTAATAAATAGAATAAATCAATAAAATATAATGGCCCCTCTTGTTTTGAGGCAGCAGCTCAGTAGTTCCCACCGCCCCTACTTATCTTCCACCACAAAGTCTCTCACCAGGTGCCTCCTCCTAACCTTGGTTTATGACAAAGGAAGATCTTTTTGGTAATAACATGGTAAAATTTTTAGTAGAGTTTGAGTTTGGGTGGAGGTTGAGGAAGTGGCCATCCCTTCCTTGGGAAACAAGCCAATTTCAGAAGAGAGAAATGAAATCAGGCTTTATTGTAAAAAAAAAAAAGAGTTTAAAATATAAAATCTCTCCTTTAACTTTAAATACTCACAAGGCACACATTCAATAGCAAAGGAGATGAAGTACAGCACTATTCAGATATAGGAAAACAGCAGGCTGATATGAAAATGAAAAACCGCAAAAGTGTACCGCATGCAGCAGATAATAAGAAACTACTGGTCTACTATAAATAGGATTTCTCTGTCCAAAATCTCAGCAAAGAGATTGGAAGATTCCATTCACTTATTTATTTCCGAATGTGTATGGCTGCCTAATTCTATGACAACTCTGGGTGGCATGAACTATTAAAACATCTTGAAATAATAAAGAACAGAAAGAAGAGACAAATGCCCAGGAAGAGTAAAACAAACACACCCCTCAATTAAAAACATACCACAAGGGGCATATTATTGTTTCTGTTGTTGTTTTCATCATCATCATTACAAGAAAGGTTGTTAAGTTTTTTTTTAATAGATCTTCTGGAATATACCTGAAGTATAATTCAGAACAGAATCCCTTACTTTGTACAGAAGCATAAAAGCAGAGAATACTGGTTTAGTCTAAGAACAATCAAACAGAAATGAAAGACATATCACATTTCTCTAGTCATTTATCCATTTCTTCCTACCGTAGTAGGCTTTCTGAAGTGAAGGTATCCTGTAACCTTCCTATATTTCTCTTTTTCCTGAAAATTCCAGACTTTGACCTATGTTCTCCCAGCCTCCATTCCCATCTTCTCCTTCAGTTTCCTTCACAGGAAACCTTTGTCTTTTAACATATTCAAATTTTCTATGCTTGGAATTAGAGAGAATCTGGGGTATCTTTCTTTTTTCTACTTGAAAAAAAAGTATTCTTATGAAAGTATGTACTTTGTGTCTGAGAAAAGGATGACCATGTGACTTTGGAACACAGTGATGGTCATAAATGCAAGGACTGGTCGCATAGCTGGTTTTTACACTATCATAACTTTGGACAGTCACGAAATAAGGCAGTCTGAAAGTGAGGACTATTTTACACAAGACCTTTCCAACCAAGATATGTCATTGACAGATCCACATTTGGTCATTTACATATTTCTGAACAAATGGAAAATCCCAACAACCCATTTACCTTTGCATGGGTGTATCTAATAGTAGCATTTCCATAGCAACCCACTGTAGCACTTGTCCTGCTACCTAAGGCAGCTTTTTCCACAGTGAACTTTGTTGTTACCCAAACTGCACACTTGCATTTGGGTAAGCATAGTGTTTGCTCATCTGGTTGGTGATGTTGCATCCCAAACTACAATCAGGTTTGTTTGGCTAAGCGTCTTTATTAGGATTAAATTTCCCCATGATAGCCATAACACTTAGACTGGTATACCACTTTATAGCACTTTACAGCACTCTCTGAATGGTTTACAAAATGTCAGCATATTTTCCCCAACAATCTGGGTCCTCATTTTACTCACCTCGGAAGGATGGAATGTTGAGTCAACCTTGAGCCTGTCAGGATCAAACTCCAGGTTGTGGGCAGAGTCAGACTGCAATATTGAACCACTGAACCACCACAGCAATTCTATCCACCCGTTTCCTCTAAGTTCATCCATCTCTTATACCTTTAGCACCAAAAATATATATACTTATATGCTTCTTTTATTCATCATCACAATCATTTTAGCCATTGTCTATCCACTGCAGGATGAAGGCCTCTTCCTAACCTAGATGGTTCTGAGCTTTCTTTTTCCAGTTGGGCCCGCTATACTTACCATATTTTTTAGATTATAAAACACTCTGGACTATAAGACGCACATTAGCTTTAGAGAAGGAAAACAAGGGGGGCGGGGAATCTGCTTTGCCTCCTTGCAGCAAACAGCAAACAGCCTGGTCAGCTTCAGCACAGCCTGATTTAGCATGAGCAGCTGATTGACGGTCGGATTGGTCTGCCAAAATACTGCCCATCAACTGTTCCAGGCTGCAGGGATAGCCACCGCTCATTGCCGCCACCCATTGCCGCCACCTATTGCTGCCTCTGTGCACCCCATTTATGGCTTCCGCGCACCCGTTTTCGACCTCCACACATCCTGTTCCCAGCCCATTCTAGGTGGCGGGGATTGCCACCACCTATCGCCACCACTAGTCAGCACCATTTGGCGGTGATAGGTGGCAGCAGTGATGCCTGAAAATGGAATGCGTGGAGGCCCAAAATGGGGCATGCGGAGGTGGTGATGGGCAGCAGCAGTGATGGGTGGCAATGGCGGCAATGGGTGGCAGCAATCCCCGCAACCTGGAACAGCTGATGGGCGGTATTCCGGGAGCCCGATCCAACTGCCATTCAGTTGCTTGTGCTAAATCAGGCTGTGCTGAAGCTGACCAGGCTGTTTGCTGTTTGATACAAGGAGGCAAATTGCTGGGAGGCAGAGGTCAAAGGGTGGGGGCCGGCGGGTGGGTGAGGCTTTAGCAACATTCGCTCAATAAGACACACAGAGATTTCCACCCACTTTTTCCACCCACATCTTATAGACCAAAAAATACAGTAGTTCTTTTATTATACAGGGTTGGCTTGACTTGGAAGAGATGTATTACAGTAAATGTACGATCTGTCCACTCCTTTAGAAAAGTCTTGCTCTTGATTTTTGCAGCATGGAATGAGCCAAGGTGAACTAATTTTCTTCTCCTTTTTTTTTCTTTCTTCTCTTCCTTCCTTCCCTCCCTCACTCCCCCCTCCCTGCGTTTCAGATACAGAATCCTTCCTGGATCGGCAACAACGGTGCCGCCTCCCCTGTGCCTGCCTGCGTAGTGCCCTGTGACTCGGTGCCTTCCTGCATGTCTCCCCATGCTCATCCCCACACCACCGGAGGAGTCTCTGAATTCCTGAGCGTCTCGGGTCCTGGCAGCCACGTGGGGCAGACGCACATGGGCAGCCTCTTTGGCGGCGCTGGCATCAGCCCCAGCATCAATGGCTATGAGTTGAACGGCGAGCCGGACCGCAAGTCTTCCAGCATTGCAGCCCTGCGGATGAAAGCCAAGGAGCACAGTGCCGCCATATCGTGGGCAACATGACAGGGCTGCTGCTTTTGCCCTCGAGAAACGGACATCTCAAGCAGGACAGATGACCCAAACCCTCCGCTCTTGGACTGGGGGCAGTGTGCGCCCTCCTCAGAGGTCTGAATGCAGCACTTTTCGCTTCCTTAGAGAGAATGGCATGGTGCCGATTGCCGTTTTTGGAGTGTTTTAAGCATGTAGGCCTTTTTTTAATCCCCTTTCCCAGGAAGAGGAATGTGGAAGTCAAGAGGGGATATTTCTCCTGCATCAGACAAACTTGAGTTTTCAATTCCCCTTGTGCTGTTGTTCTCCTGATTGCAAGTTTGCCGTTGTTCTTGCTCTATCTAGCATGAAAGCTGCCTCCCACCAAGGCTTCCATCATGCAATCGTTGGCCTTTTTCCACAGAATTATTGGGGTGGGGTGAGGATTCCAAAGTGTGCTGTCTTTCTTTTTAAATAGTCCTGTATTTTCCCATGACATCCTCCCTCCCTTCTTCCTTCCCCCCTCTCCTGCTCACATTTTTGGCTACAGAAAGTCTATTAAAGTGGAGGTGGGTGGGGGAGAAATAGCTACACAGGGTTCCTTGATTGGTAGCATTAGGAGCCCTCCATCTGGAAGTTCATCTGATTTCTCTCTCTCTCTCTCTCTCTCCCTCCCTCCCTCCCTCTGTGTGTGTGTGTGTGTGTGTGTGTGTGTGTGTGTGTGTGTGTGTTAAACAAACAAGAAAACAAAGGCCAACCCACAATTTCTGGCTAATTGCTCCCATGTGAGCTCTTTTGAAACCCTCATATTTTAATGGAACAGAAGGGGTTTATATATGATCTCTAGCACCAAAAGGCATGTGGTTGCTATCACTATAGATGGCTGGTGCCAAAGTCTGAGGAGACGGGGTGCATTTTCATTGGGATATCCTATAACAAAGTTGCCATACTGCAACAGGAAATTTGTCCACACCTTATCTTCCACGTGAATTGTGTGAGTTGCTGAGTTGCTTTATGTCATTTTTTTCCTGTCGTTTCCCTCCCTTCAACCTCCTGCAATGCAATAATGCATAGCCAAGGGATGCAATAATGAAGACACGAGTCAACTGCGGGTTCAATGAAAGGCATGCTAAGAATATACTGCCCCTCAACAGAAATTGGGGGGGGGGGACATTGAGCTTGTCAACTGGAAAGCTAACAGCCTGGGTTCAGTGTGCTACACGATGGGGTGAGCTCCCTTTATTTTCCCCAGTTCTTGCCCACTCAGCCGTTTGAAAGCATGAAAATGCAAGCAGACAAATAGGTACCATTTTGGCAGGAAGATAACAGCATTCTGTGCACTTCAGTGAATAGACATGCTGCCATAGGACCACAGAGGTGTCTTCCGGCAATGCTGGCTCCCTTGTCTAAGAAACAGAGATGAGCACTGTTCCCTAAAGTCGGTCAGGGGAAACCTTTACCTTTAAACAGAAATTACAAAAAGAGACGTACTTCTCCTCAGGGCAACTTTGCAATCATAACCCCATGATTCTGACAACAAGCCAAGGACTCTTAGGCTGATGTAAACCAAATCAACCTTTTTTATATGCTACCAAGCGTTTTGGAACACTATGACTTTGGTAGCCCGTCCCCACCACACCAATGCATTTCTTGCAACGCCAGTATAACCAGTTGTGAGAATTTAATTAATTAATTATCCATGGTTGGGTATCCATTGCCTGATGTTTGGTTTCAATGTCGAACGAAACAGGGAGAAAATCTGTGGGCAATAAAGGAAAACGTCTCCCTAATTTCCCACCATCGGCCTGCTCTTGCAGCAAGCTCAGTTCTGAAAGAAGACCAGTTTACAGGATTTTCACTTTTAGGTTGATATTTAACATACAAACTTTGGAATAATATCTAAAGAGTTGGGTGGTGCGGAAGAAATTGTATGCCCACTGCCATGAGAAATAACCCACTTCAATTATTGCCTTTCTGCTGTCACTATCAAGTTGTTTGTTTTTTTCCAACTCCAGTTCCTCCCCACTCAGTGGAGGTAACTCAAAGGCCTATCTTGAAGAAATAAAGCAAGGGGGTGGGGGAAGCGGTTTCCCTCTTTGTTGGAAATTCTTTTTCTTCCAGCCCAAAGCGAAGTAGCAGACACAGGCCTGCCTCATGTTGTTCCCATTCATCAGGATAATCACATTTTCCCAATTTCCATATGTTTGCCCTCTTTTAAAAAAAAAAAGGATCAAAGAGATTTAGGTCCAGCCAGCTAAGATTCGGTTCAAAAAGCTGAAACAGTGCTTGGGTTTTTGCAGTTTCTCCAACAGGCATTCACATCCACTAGAGGAGAGAGACTTAATATTCAAAATTGTCCAACTGGCTTTTAAGGAGTGTTTGTTGGGTTAGTAACTACTGGGCTTTTTTCCTTTTTTCTGGCCAGCGGTTGCTTGGCAGGCTTTGCCATTGAGATAGTGTAGATTTTAATGGGCTTCAGAGGAAAAGCAAGACTTTCACCATCCTTAAGGCACGAGCCTCCAACCACCAGGAAGTCTGACCTGCGGATAACCATGCTATTCATGAACGTGCCCCTATAAAGCATCCTGGAAAGGGAAGCCTGCCGCTGGGGATGCATATAAAGAAACAGCCATAACACACCAAGTACACAGAAGTCCAGGATGAGTCTGTGGCAAATCTGAAAGAGGGGCAAGAGAGAGGATGAATTCATTTTATAGGAATGGGGTACAAAAAGCAGTGGTATACTTGACAGTTAGGGAGACATCTCCTCCTCCTCTCATGTGCATTGTTAATCCCAGAACATTTCTTAGGAGCCCCAGTATTTCTGACCAGCTGTGGGAATAAGACGTCTTGCCCATAGCATGCAGAGTAAAAAGGCCTAAACTTTTATTCCTTTAGAGACCAGGTGCATTTTTCAAGTCAAAAGCCACAGTTAAAAAATATTTTTTTAAAAAAGCAAATTAGTCAATATTTTGAAGTTCCGTTGGATTCAGTGGGAATTCAAAGCATCATTAAACTTGTTGCCCTGTGGGGTAAGTATGAAGAAAATTTTGTAAGTTATCAATAGGAGTGCTACCTTCAGAAAGGCATTTGAGGTGGTCAAAAAATGAAAGAGCAACTGTTAATTACGTGTTGTGCTGTGTTTAAAGACTGTCCCCTCAAAAAAACAACAACCCACCATTCTTTTTTTTTTTTAATCTATAAAATCAACATTGAACCATCCCAAGCAGTCATTACTTTCCATGACTGGAGATCAATGAGCCATCAAATGATTTTAAGGCTATCCATGAGAATTAGATCTTGAACTCTCATGAAAGTGATGATGACATGATTGCATAACACAGGGGTCCCCAACCACCAGTCCACGGACCGGTCCCGGTCCGTGGAACAAGTCCTACCGGGCCGCTGGTTTGCTGGGCGCCGCCATCTTTTTTTGATGAAAAAGTGCTTCCGGTGAGCTTTTCCGGGTAGAAAGGTCACCGGAAGCACTTTTTCATCAAAAAAAGATGGTGGCGCCCAGCTAATGCCGGTACCGGGCCACGCCATAAAAAAGGTTGGGGATACAGGGCCGCGGCATAAGAAAGGTTGGGGATCACTGACATAACAGACATGATCCATGCCTAATCATGTTTGTGTGTTCCTGAGTGTGCATTCCTAGGAAAACACATTTGTGTGCATGCTGACTCCAGGTATGTTTATTTTATAATAGCTAGGTTTGCCATGTTTGGGGTGAATCGTAACGGAGATGCTAGCTCTATCCAAATTTCTTTGTTTTCAGCTGGTAAAAAGAACTGGAAGTAGAATCGTGCTGCTACTTGTGTCAGCAGCCCTTAAAACAGCCATTGCAGCTTTTCAAAGCTTTAAAGCAGGCAAGAATAGTTTGGTTTTTTTTTTTAACTATCTGTTCATCTCATGTCAATGTTAGTTCCCCAAACGACTTTGAATGTGAGCAATTCAAGTGTACATCAACAA